AGGGTCCCAGATTGAAGAATTTTGAGAAATACTTCATTGGGTTCTAAGCTGGAAAAAGTGCTATGGTCTGTCATTCTCAGCTGTATCCCCAGGCATAGCATAGACTCTGGCTCATATCAAGCATTCAGATATTTTAATTCATTAATACATTAATTAATTTACTTTTAAAGTGGAAATAATTTTAAAAATTGACAAAATTTAAAATGCCCCTGTGACGGATTTTATACTAGAAAATTACAGAAGTAGATTGTAGAGTTTTTCACAAGCTTCCATGGGTTTCTCTTTCAAGACTTACTGTAAGTATTATAATGCAATAAATTAATTGGCCTGCATTTGCTATTCAGAATTCTCTGCTAGATGGTATTTGCCAGTGAATGCTAAATGCTTTCTGTATAACTGCTTATTAGAAAAGTCACAAGTGAGAAGAATAGGTGAGAGTGGACTCTATGAGAACCGAGGCAAACAACTGTATTCAGAGTTAGATAATCAGAAAAACAATTAATCATTTGTTTAGTTGTACTTGATTGTTTTCTGAAATGCAGAACTTATATTTTGTATTCAATTGAAAGGCAAGTGCAAACTTCAACTTAAAAATAATTATTAAACTTTTACCAATAGTTTTTTTCATTGATATTTTCTGAAATCTTCATTAATTTAGTTAAATGTCATCTTCAAAATTAAAATTCTTTTAGCCCTTACCATCTTTGTCATTTTAAATTAGCTGTCATTTGTCATCAGTAAGTTGGCTATTTTTAAACTATCATTAATTATTTTCCTTTATAGTCACCCGAATAAGCTGACACTCAAAAGCCAACAGTGAGTCTTTCTCAGATCTAGACCTAGACCTCCAATTAATTAGTTGTGTTATATAAAAAATATCTATATGTATGAGAATATTGTAGAGTGTTTTTCCATTCTCAGCATATCAGAGAACAAGTGAGGCATTAATAGCAATAACAAATGGCATTTTTATGGTGCTTTACAGTTTACAAAATGCTTTCATATTCACATCCCATGGGAGTGCCCTGGTCACTGTGATGGAAGTGTTTCTATTCCATTGTTGACAGGGATGCTGTACTACAGACTTTATATAGGAAAAAAGATCATTCATTTGATCCATATGTATTTTGGTTTAATGTCAAACAATTTGCAAAATGTACTTTTTCAAGAAAACACAGACATTTGCTAGTATTAAGTAAAAATCTTTAAAGCCTTTAGCTGTAAACTATGCTTTGTAAGCTCCAATGCCACAAAATGAATGATTAAATTGGGCCAGGTGTAAGTGGGTAAGTTGGTAGGTAGTGGAGCTTACTACAAATTGGAACATACGTTCCTGCATACAGCTTTATGCATTTAAAAATATTTAAACATGATGGGCCAAAGAAAACATACCTGTGTGTCTCATATGCAGCCTCTGCTCCACAGTAACAGAACATGATATGTAAAAAAATAAACAAAGTAGGAACACAAGCACAAGGACATTATATAAAACATGGTTTTGTTGTAGGAGTTAAGCTTGTTAAGGACTGAACTACAAAGTGCAAGGTTGATAAACATGGCTGATGCTCCTTTAATATCACCGTCCTCCTTCGATCTTCCCATTCTGACTTGGTTTTGCTAACATTGTTGGGCCAGCATAACACAGTGTTAAGAACACTACAGTGATGTGACCTTGAGCTTTTTAGTCAGTTTCCTTACCAGTAAAACGAAGATAATAACTGTATTATAGACTTGTTGCAAGACTAAATGAGAACGTACATGAGAAGGGGTTAGCAGAGGTCCTTTCACAATTTAAGTGCTAAATACATGGTACGTATTATCCTCATTCTCACCATCATTGGAAAAAACACACTTACTCATCTCTTGAACAACTTCTTAGAATATACTAAAGATGAAAATTAACTTTCAGACCTGTATGGTGAGATGCTTGCCAGGAGAAAGGCAGAGTCCTTTCATCAAACATATCACCAACCACAAAATCAAAGATAAAAGTATCCTTTGTCTCTGGGCTGGTCAATATACTTGAATAGCCCTTTTCCTTTAGAACTATAAAAGGCATTGGGCAAGTTCATCAGGCTCTCTCTAGCACCAAGTAGGCCAGTGCTTCCTAAAATGACATTCATAGAAACTCTCCAAGAATTTGGTTCAGTTGAAAATGCATTGATGCATTGTTTGAATATCCTCTCTGAGATTAGGAGCACGCGATTTCTTCCTTGGAAATCCTGACATGCCCAGAGTGGTGGGGGAGAGAAAAATGTAAACAGGTCATTTCACTACAAATACAAACATGTGCCTGAGTTCCTCACGCTCTGATGGGCACCTTTCCCTCCTCCTCTTTCAGCGAGGCTTTCTAAGTATTGTAGGAATGCAAAGATTAGTATGCTGTAAAAGGACTCAGGACATGTACATGCCTATTCTCCAAAGTCTAGTTGTAGCTCTACCTCCTCCAGGAAGTTTTTCATTCTACTTTGATCTTTGACTTACTTGAAATCCTTTGAAAATTGCTGTTTAATCATTTTGGTCCTTTAGCATTTGCTACCTTAAGTAGCAATTAAATTGCTTCCTGGGCATATGTTCTATGTACCCAACCAGATTGTAGTAAGCCCTCTGAGGTGAAGAATTTATTTTCTTCTGGGCAATACTTTATCTGCATTGATCTGAAAAACTGTTTTAGTGTTGCCAGATTAAAGATTAATAAAAAATAATCCAAAAGTAGTAAATGCAATAGTTTGAGGCTTTCTTACATTGAAGACACCTATAAAACAATGTTTCATAAAATTTGAAGACTTTTTGATATAATTTAAGACTTCAGGTTAGATTAGAGACAGAAAAAAATTGGCAAATATAAACCTTTATCTGTTATTTAATAATGTTTTATTTTCACTTTTAATCAACATTACTTTTGGTCCTGCTTTATAACCTGGTGGTAACAACTTGTACTTCCTAACAGGGCAACAGAACACACATTAAATTGCCCCACAAGTGAAGAATTACAACTAGAAATAAAAGTATTTCATTTATTTTAATACCACTAATAAATGAAAATAAATTTCATTTATTTTATTTATTTTAATGCAAAAATGGTTGGGATTATAAGGTAATACTAAAACTCACAGGTTGCCAGTTTGCATTATGCTATTTTATTACCTTTTATTGTCTGTTTCCAAAGTATTGTTACTGAAATGCAAAGAAAAATATGTTTACGAACATAAATGTTTTTAAAAAATAGGTAAAGGAAAGAACTAATGTCTAATAGTGAAGAAATCAATTTTATTTGAAAACTAGTAAAACTATAAATAGAGTTCTCCATATGTTTACTTCCAAGAACTAAGATTCCACCATGCTCATATCTAATTTCTTTTATTTCTCCTATCTTTCAGATCTGTTTCTTCCTTTCATTTCTACTGCCACACGTGAAATTTTGCTTGTCATTACTTCTCATCTAGATTACTGTCACTACAGCTTCACTATTTTTTTTGACTTCCCCTTCAAGTTGATCTTTTACAAAGATGCTCAATTGATCTTTCCACCGTACGGTTTCAAATTTGTGATTCCTAGCTCAGACATTCTCAGTGCCTTCTTCTTGCTTACAGAAACAAAGTCAAATTGACCATAGGCTAGCAACTTCTGATTTCTGTGCTCTTGTTCCAATTTATTTTTCTGAAAATTTTCCCCATAGCCTGCCTCATGCATTACACAAGCTATATATATTTATACACTTCATCCACTAAAATGAAACTATATATTGTTCCTCTATATGCCTTTAAGCTTCTAATCGCTATTTCCTTTATGTCTTCCCTAAGCCTAAAACACTCCTCCAAATCCTATCCATCCTCCAGGGATGGCACCTCTTCCATGCAGTTGTTTCTAAAGTCCTCAGAGGTACTGAATATTCTTTCTGAAAGTGTATAGAAATTTTTCACTATCTCTTTTATAGAAGTTGTTATTTTATAACTAAAAATATATTTAAGCAAGTATCTTTCTCCTCTACCAAAGTATGAAAGCTCCGTGAGAATGGAATCTATGGCAGTTTCACTTTGCAAACTCTACTGTGCCAAGTATAAAGGCTCCAAACATAGCAGTTACCAAATACTTGTTGAAGAAATGACAAAGTGGAGTGCTTAATTTAATTACTTGATATTTAGTAGTTTTACAAAAGTCTACAAATGGGATCTATATGAACCTACTGATAATCATGAAATGAAAGTCATTGGTTTTGATATTCTGATATGTTTCATAAACTATATTAGTGGTTATCCAGCTATTCTCCACAGAATCTTTGGGATTCCACAGAAGCAGCCCAGGAATTTCTCTCCTTGGGAGGGAAAAATGTTAAGTAAACAATTATCTACCCTGAACTTTGCCTTCAAAACTGTTCCACGTTGTATACTGGCTTTCTTCTAAGGCACAGTTTAGAAAAGACTTTCACTGTTTAAAAAATTATCTTTGAAATCCCTTGATATTCCACCTCTAGAACGCTTTGATTCTGTATTTGTTTCAAGTTTCTATTCCACATGAAAACATCTTAATATAAAGACTAGGTAAATGAGCTGCTGTGGTTTAGTTGAATTTATAATTAGAGAAATACCAAAATAGTAGCACAAAAGCAGTGTTTCAGATAATTTTATATCAGGTCCTCCTATATATAGCACCTGACTCTGCTTGAAGCATGACATTCTATAACAGTGATCAATTTCAAACCTTAATCTGAATTTACTGACCTAAGAACTAGTTAGCTGGTGAATCTTACAGATATCACTACCTTGCTGGAAATTTTTAATGTATTCAAAAGATCCCTGAGAGGTTGTTATAAGCTTTCTATTTCTGTAAAACACAATGACACAATGATATTGCCCCGGCTTAAGGTAGTCTGTCCCCTTACCCGCAGAGCAGAAAACCCTGATCTGTAATAAATCTAAAATGTATCTTCACTGAAATACATTTTGGACTTCTAGTCAGTTATACAATTCTAAATTCATTATTCAGGGGGAAAAAAATACCTGTTCAAGTCACGATGGATAATTGGCTGTGTCAGGTTGTGAAGGTATTCCATACCTTTGGCAACATCTACTGCAATAACTAATTTAGACTGCAAATCAAGAATCCTAGAATTTAAAAATAACATTTAATGAGGATGAAATGGTCAAAGCCAATGCCATATCTTTCTAAAATAAATCAATGGTGTATGTGGTTTGTTCTTCTGTATAATTTCAGTCTGTTTTGCTCTATTACAGAATAAGCTAACAATTCAACAAATCTTTAAAAACAGCTTTTCTACATCAGATACTATTTAATTACAAATCAATTCAGATACCAAGCTCTTTTATTTAAAATATTCTACTTGATTTTATAACATTTATAATATTATACTAAATTTCTTTCTAGTATCATAAAAATGAAATCTACTATAATCACTGAGTAGAAACCACATTCTAATTATTATAAGCATAGATAGAGAAAGTGAATTCAAATTAGACTTGTGCAAGATCATTCTTTTTTAAAACTTTAAAAAAATAAACAACTGTAAATAATGACCCCTGGCAATTATTTTATCTGAGTTTACATACATCTACTTTACTGGTATGTCAAATTTAGCCTAATGGTTACAATCTTCAGCCACCAACTTAAATTCCTTGAATTTGTTATCTCCAACTGAATTCCATTTAAGAAAGTGCTGAAGTATTTATATTCTCTAGTTATTGGGTCCACATTATTAGCCATCTTTAAAACGCCACATTTCCTAGCACTCAGAGATTTCAGAAGGCACAGTCTTACACCAAGCAGAAAGCCTCTGAGGTGTTTGTTGCTGGGATAATTCCAATGACTTGTAAAATAATAACTCAGAACAAGAGCCCCATACCTCTTCTGTTCATGAAGGAGGGAGAATAGAGAACCCCCTGATATGTACTGAGTGACGATGGCAAACTGGCTGGGATCATTCAAACAAGCTCCCACAAACTGAATGACACAGGGATGATTGAGCCGGCAGAGAATGGACACTTCTCGGCAAAACATATCCACATCTGACTTGGAGCAGTAGGTGTTGGCGCGATACCTGGAGATGGTAGCGACAGGAAGTCCTCAGTTAACAGATGGATCAAAACAAGGGGCTCACCATTCACACGCTTCTCAAAGCTCACAGTTCCACTCAGATGTTTCATTTTCTCATTTGCTTGCTTACCGCTTTATTGCCACTATTTTATTTCTGCATCGTCCTTTATACACTTTCCCAAAAGAACCTAAAATTGTTTAAGAGAAATAAATAAAGACATTATCCTGAGCTCATTACACTAAAGCTGACTAGGAATTTCTTAGGTTACCTGAGCCGATAATCTCATGGAACTCAATTTCTGAGAGTTGAAGATGGAAATGTGAAGGTAATCCAGCCCTTAGGAGGAGAACATCTGCCTTCTCTGCAAACAGAAATTGTTTTATTTTTTAAGATAAAAAGCACACATGTGGGTGTGCACAAGTACATGTGGAAATATAAATTACAGAACCAAAGATATCATTCCTTAGTAACATTTACTTTTTCAGCTATCATTGACTACTAGGAGATATGAAAACCTTATTACAAATGATCCCTGCATTAAAAGGATGTTAGTTCTCTCTCTGTTACCCAACCTTTGTTAGCAGGGCCAAGAGTTTATTCCTGATCTGATCAACAACTAGCTTGTCTGCGTACCACGGCAATCCTGGAGCACAGTCCCTACCACATCATGATAAACAATCTTATCTGGTCAAGCCCTGCAACCCATCACAATAGGCTTAGCCGAAGACCCATAGACTAAATCTCAAAGGGCTACATACCAACTCGATATCAGGAAATAAGCACATGAATCATTCAGAGGAAACATCCAGAACCAAAAAATAATTTTAAAAACTTCAAGTTCTAGGTAGTTTAACTGTTTAACTAAGTTGGACCTCTATTTTTTTTTACATTGAATTAAAACTTTCAGCCGAAACCGGTTTGGCTCAGTGGATAGAGCGTCGGCCTGCGGACTGAAGGGTCCCGGGTTCGATTCCGGTCAAGGGCATGTACCTGGGTTGCGCGCACTTCCCCAGTGGGGGATATGCAGGAGGCAGCTGATCGATGTTTCTCTCTCATCGATGTTTCTAACTCTCTATCTCTATCTCTCTCCCTTCCTCTCTGTAAAAAATCAATAAAATATATTAAAAAAA